CTGTGTGCCAGAAACTATGCTAGGTACTTAGCATAGGCAGTACAGTGGCTGAAAGTCCAGTTGTTGAGTGACTCTAGAGCCAGTCTGCCTAGATCCAAAGCCTGACTCCTCCTTTGCTAGCTTGGCGACTTTATGCAAGTTACTTAACTTACCTGGGCAACAGTTTCTTTGTCTATAAAATGAGGATAATAATAGACTTATATTGGGATTATTGTAAATACCAAATCTGACAGTGCATCTAAAGCACTGGATATATGGCCCTTATTTTTATCTCTTTTATCCAAGAAACATCCCTTGAGGTAAAAAATAATTATTCTCACTTTACCAATGAGGAACTTGAGGCTCAAAAATGTTATGTGGTTCACTCAAGTCAGTGAGGAAAAGCTTTAGCTGGTACTTCAGCCCAGTTCTCTTTGATTCCAAAGTTTATGATGCTCTCCTGTTACTCTCTTCTTTTGAGGGATCCATGTGAGGCAATAATCAGAGAGTGGGGAGAAGCTAATGAATTTAAGTGACATTTTGAGGACAGAACCTATGGGAAGAGAGATGGCTTCTGCAGTCACTCAGTAGGAAAGGGAGAAAGCTCAAAGTTTAGGAGAGCTTTTGGCAGCACAACATGTTCTCTCTAAACTCCAGGCTGGAGTATTTCTGCTCATAGACTAGTCTGGATATAGGCCAGGAACCACGTTATCCGTCTCAGACACACTTTGTCTGTATTGGGTTTAGTTAACAGATTACAGGGTACAGCACATACTCTCAGAAAAGAACAATATGTCATCCATCAGGCTCAGGCTTCAAGCTAGTAGAAGCTGCACCAAATACATTCCTGAACTTAGTGCTGCAGGAGCAGAACAGGGTCTGTTTCCAGACTATTCCAAGAATCATGCTAGCAAGTCCACCTACAATGTTTATCCATCTTGACTTTAACAAAATGAAATATACGTGAGTTTCGGATCTGGGAAAATTATGGAGTACACATTTTTGGAAAGGGTGGTCTTTCATTATCCCTTAAAAGTGACATAATATAATTAATGCCACAGTCATGATGTGCCAGAGGCCAACAGACAAGCTATTCAGACAGGGAGTTATTAGATATTTGCCCCCTGGAAGCTGCTGGTAGAGGTTGCCATAGTTAGCATTAGTCACCACCCACCAAGATCTGGTTCTAAGCTTTGCACATTCAAAAGCTTAATGTTATCAATTTGTCAGCTTATAAGAAATAGATCCTTGCAGGCCATATACATAAGGAGGAAATGAATTATATACTAAAATTTATAGTTTATAATGAGATACCAACTTAGGTGATAGAGAATACTCCAAAGTTGTATTTCCTAGATAGGTATGTGTGCTCAGGGGATCATGTTACAAATCTAAACATTGCTTTATTATCCTAGAATTAGAAAGGAAGGCATAGATTGCCTTAGGGTACACTTTTTCTGGATAAATTACTCTTTTTGATTCTAGATGGAATCTACCTCCGTCCTGCACCATGCTGAAATCATAAAGCCTTTGCCTGACAGCAGATGGGTTAGAGTTGGGAAGCTGGGACTCCAGTAGAAGGCATTACAGTAACGCAGATGAGAAAGAGCTTGAAGTAAGATTCTACCCTGGGGAAGGAGGAGAAGAAGGGCAGACTTGAGTGATATTTAAGAGGTAGACAATGGAATACAGAGATGGATTACATGTGGGAGGTGAGGCACAAGAAGAAGTTGAGGCTGAGTTTTAGATTTCTTGCTTTGGACACGTGAAGTTACAGCTAACTATGAGACATCCACGTGGAGGGAACAAGTAAGGCGTCTCCTTAGAAGAGATTTGAGCTAGAAAGGACGACTTGCAGATCGTCACTATATCTATCACTCTGTATAAGGATGAAATTTCCCAGGAAGTGAGTGTAGAATGGGAGGGGCGGAAAGTAACATGCAGAACTTTATGCACACCAACATTTAAGGGGCAGATGGGAGAAGAGGAGCCCAAAATGGAGACTGAGAAAAGGATGGCCAGAAAGAAGAAAAATCAGAGAAGAATAATGCCACATCAAACAAATTGGAGAGATTTTTCAATACAGAGTTTTCTTTTAAAAATTCTTCAAAAAAGTTTTCTTTTAAAGCCAAATGCCACGAAGTGGCCAAATAAGAAAAGGACCAAAAAGTGTGTGTTCTGTATATAACGACTGGGAGGTCCTCAGTTGTTTTTTATGTGGTGAGGCCAGAAGTCAGACTGTGATGGGTAGAAAAGTGAGTGGGGTAAAGAAGTCAAGGCATTAATTTTAGGCTACTCTTTCAGGAAGCTTGGCTGTGAAAGTAGAAGGTTAGGCAGTTAGTTTGGGGTTGCATGATGGGCTTTATAAGATAGTGAGGTTTGAGCTTGTTTATTTGCTAATTAGAAAAATGCTAGCAGAGAGAAAGATGTTGAATATACAGAACGGAAAGGACATAATTGATAGAACAAAGAGCAATACTTATCTCACTTCTTAGAATGGAGACTGTTTCTAACAGATAACTACTGTTAATAAATACTGCTGACGAATTTCTGTTCCAGCTGAAAGACCTGTTGAGTGAGCAGCTCATAGAGACAGGATAGACAGGACCTATGAGTGCATATTAACCACTGATCTCCAAACTATTGTTCATTCATTTGCAAATTATTTTTGGATGCCAGACGCTATGATAAATGCTGGCGAACAATGGTGAGCAAAGCTGTTATGGCCCCTACTCTCCAGGAGACTATAATCTGATGCTGGAGATAAACATTAACCAAATAAATATTTTGGTAGATCATTTCCCTTGAGAAAGTCATTTCAGTTGTGTATCACTAAAGAGTGATGAAAATTTAATTAACCAAAATGGATGTGGAAAATCCACTTCTGGGAGAGAGAACAGTGGACGCCAAGGTTCTGGAATAAGAGGCACCTATCTATTAACATCTTACTGATATCTTCTTTGTTCCTGTCATTTTCCCTTTACCTATTCATTTGTTTTATTTTGAGGACACAGGAGGAGAGGTGAAAGTTTTACAAAAATAACAGGTTGAATTTTGCAAAATAATTTTTAAGGAAGAATTGATTTAATAGATGGCATAAAAAGTAGGAACTTAGAAATGCAGAGTGCTTGGTTATTATGAGTTTTTTATTTAAACCACACACATAATTCCCATTACATAAAGTTTTTATCTTAATTTAAAAAGGAAATGTTTCTAACAAGTTCCCAAGTGCTGCTGCTGCTGTAGGTGACGATCCTGGGAGCGCAGGTGGAGAACTGCCCTGTGGGGAAAAGAGGAATCAGTTGCAAAGCCACTGATGAGACTATTTAAAGCGCTCCCTTAAAACACAAGAATTCTATTTTCTGCCTTGGTCCTTCTTTCAGAGAATTTTCTTTGGCATAAGAAGGAATCTCTCTTTTCTTTTTCTCTCTTTTCCCTTCTTATTTCCCTGGATCAGTGGCAAAAGTTGCAAAGGTGACTTTAGTCTTGAACTTGATCACTAAGGGACAACTAATAACAAAAAAAAAGTGCTTAAAATTTCAAAGCTGAGGGAAGACAATAAGATGGTAAACTGGAGTTATGGTTGGCACCCTGCTAATTTTTTTATACAGCAAATGTCCTTAAGTCCCAAACTGAAAATTTAAAAGGACAGAAAACAAGATGAATAACATTACCTTTGAAAATCACTTTGTGCCCTCTTATTCTTTTATTCTGATATATTTTCATACTGTTTTTTTCTCCATTCTAATTTTCCCTTGAGATTTTTTTCTCTCCCCCTTTCCTTTTTTCTTGTTTTGTTATATGTAATTAGAATAAAGGAAGGCAAATATGATGTGATCTGAATTTTGATATATTTAAATTTCTCATTTCACAATGTGTGCAATGGGAGCAAAATAATATAAAGTGAATTCAGACACGAAGAATAAGGGGAGGCTAAAATACACTTTTCCAATAAATAAAGTTTCAGAGTGGTCATGGGTTGCTGTGTAACCTCTGTAGAAACAAAATGTGAAATCCAAAAGCTAGTAGTAAAGGTTATTAAAGGTAGTTCTGAATCTGAAACTAAAATTTTAGGGATGGTACAGATGAGGTAAACAATACGGGAAACGTGACTAATATAACAAATATGATTAGTTGACTAGTTTCCATATTTAATTTGGATATATGATTCTAAAATATGAAATATAAATCTAATATGCATCTCAAATATAAAAAAGAATATTGCAACATTGAATTCATTCATTCATTCAACAAACATTTATTTAACATCTATTGGAGGTCTGTCTTGGTCCAGGATTCACAGATGGTTAAGATGAGAATTCCTGCCCTCATGACATTTATAGTGTGAATGCTATTTTTGTGGGGGAAAAAAAACCCCAAAAACCTTGCTTTGATACAATGATACAATATGCTGGTTTTCTGAAATAACTTCTTTTTTAACACTTTAAAAAATGCTTAAGTGTTAACTTTTAAATAATGCAAATATGTATTTCCTTTCTTAAATATATGGTCAATTAGGTGGAAAGATTTTCAAAACACATGCTTGTGTGTGCTCACAGGTAGAAGAGAACTGACAAGGAGATTATTTGGAAAGGTAACAAAAAGTTGCAAACATGCCTTTGAGAGAGAAAAATCACTAAAATGGAAAAGGTTTACCAGCATACTTCCCTTAGTATTTTTTCCAGTTCATCAATTCAACATTTTCTTTGTGACTAAATTCCTAAATTTTATGCTAGATTTTTGGTTAAATCCAAGAAGTGTTAAACTCTAAGGGAGGGGCTGGCCCTGTGGCCCAGTGATTAAGTTGGCGCACTCCACTTTGGTGGCCCAGAGTTTCTCCAGTTTGGATCCTGGGCACAGATCTAGCACCGCTCATCAGGCCGTGCTGAGGTGGCGTCCGTCATAGCAGAACTAGAACGACCTACAATTAGAATATACAACTATGTATGGGGGGCTTTGGGGCGAAGAAGAAGAAAAAAACGATTGGCAACAGATGTTAGCTCAGAGCCAAACTTAAAAAAGAAAGTTAAAAAAAACCTCTAAGGGCATATTTCTGACTACAAATAATATTAAAATTACCTTTTGATAAAATAATAAAACCATTGAGGTTATAATTGGGATGTTCTAACTAAGCAATAATGATGCTTCTCTAGCGTGGCCTCTACTTTGTTGAAGTTATACATCTTTTTAAGCCATCATGAAAAGATGTTATAATGTCTCATTTCACATTTTCTTCATATTTTCAAACCATTCACGTTTGGAAAAAAACAGTAGCATTGTAAAAGTGTTTGTCACTTCATTGGAAGAAAAGTGTTTTGTGCACACCAAAATAAAGGTTTTATAATGAGAAAGACCTGAAACGTGAAATAATGACTGCAATTTAGAATGTAAGAGCACTGGCCAGGGAAATTTTGTAAAACACCGTGCTTAGCAAGGTCTCCTGATGAATTGTGGGAGCTCAGATAATTAAAAATAGCAAATGATGATAATTTACAAACTCACAGTACCTCTACGGTATTTTCACATCCAGAATTGCCAAACTACACAGGACTTTAGGAGGGCATTTAGAAAGGAAGATACAAGTCAAATGCATTTCTTTCACATCTGTTTACATCTCTTGATTCTGATCAAGAGCTTTTCTCTATTAAGAAAGTAAAGAGGCTAGGTTAGGGGATTTATAACACTTGTAAGGAGTTAAACATGATCTTATTAATTACATTTTATCTATTTTAAGTGATTAAATCCTAAGCTTGACTTATTTTCAAGAAAAAAATAAAAATTCACACAAACCTTTGTAAAAAGGCATCACTGCTATTCTTGAAGAGATGGTTGATCAGCAGCTAGTCCGGTTATTCAGTTGAATAGATTAACAAATATTAACGGAAAAGTAATGCCTGTCAACTGTCTAGTCTAGTGCTATGTAATCTAGTCAAAATGGCCTTTGAAAACAAACTGGCCATCCATCCAAGGCACTGCCTGTGGGGTTATATTTGGCCTCATGAAAACATCGAGTGCTGTTAGGAGAGCCAGCAAAGGTTACTCCAAGTAGTAGAGCCATAGGTGAAAGATCAGGACTTACCTAGGCAGAGCCAAGCACTCCGTCATTTTAATAGCTTTCTAATTCCAAAGAGTTTCAACACTTATGGCCTTGAAGCTTAATTACTCTCATTTATCTTCCTAATAAATGATGCCAGAGCTTAGAAATACAAGAGAAATATCCATGATAAGTCAATAAATGAATTTGGGGAATGACTATACTGGAATAACAAACCTATGCATGACTTAGATGGCCCTGATGCCAAAATAGTCAGTAGCCGAAATGCTTTAGATGTCCTAAAATAACAAATGGATTAAATGGAAGGAGGTTTAGAGATTACGTAGATCAATGACCAGCTCAAGTCAAGGGGAAAGAAGTCCAAGAAACAAGAAAAGTTGATTCTGCTTGAAAATGCAAAGCAGTGTGGCAGAATATGAAAATATTCACTTTGTAAACTAATGCGATGCCCTACTCTGTATTAAAATCATTAAAATGGTAAGGAAATATTAAAATGCTTATTAAAATTAAACCCATATTGCAGACATCTTCTGCACAGATACTCAAGTTTTTCTCCTAATCATGTTTCTATTTTCACTCACGAGAGGAAAGGCACACATTTACATATGGTGAGCATTAGTTTGAAGTGCTCTGTTAGCTCTTGTTAAGTCCTCTCATTAAATTCCTTGGATGGATTCCTAACCAGCTTATTCTACCAAATCTAAAGTTTGTTCAGGTGTCGAGAGCGAAGAATTTTAAAAGCAAGTATATAGCCTCATGTGCTGTCACTAAAGCATAATAACCAGACAGAAGCTTCCTGTGTCCTATGTGGAGGCTGGAGGAGAAAAATAGTAAACAGAGGCTGAACAGTGAGAAGTGTGAAAAACACAATGAGAAAGACTATTGCCGAAAAGGCCCACCCGAGAATGGCGCTTGGTAGCATTTTACTGAGCTCCGAAAACCCAAATTCTAGCACAAAGCCTGGGATATTTTGGTGATAACTAATAATAGTTACATTTGTGGCACATTTTCTCTATCAAGCACTTTTCTAAGAGCTTTGTGTGTATTAACTCATTTTATCTTTACAACTGCCCCAGGAGGGAGAAACTACTATCTTCACTTTACAGATAAAAAGACTGAGGCAAAGTCATTTGTCCAAAGCATCAGACTAGTAAATGACAGAGATGGGATTAGTAATGAGGAATAGGTGACACCCATTACATAGTAATCCACTCTCAGGAGTGACCCACTGAGAGGGAAGGTTTTCTGTGCAGCAATTGGTGATAGAAAAGCGAGGCAAAGCTCTTTTCCAAAGTTTGTAGCTGGGTGTATAAGAGTTTTGTCCAAATTCTGCCAATTCAGTTCCATAATATTCACTAAGCCCCTACTGTATGTAACGGACACTGTGCTATGCATAGCGGATACAAAGATGAATCAACTGATAGGTTCCACTTTCGGAGCTCACAGTCTACGTTTCTGAATAAATCAATTGGGAGTCTATGACAAATAAAAAGTAACCATGAGGATTAGGACAACCATAGCTGCCACTTACTGAGCACCCACTATGAACCAGGCATTACGCTTGGTACTTAACATCATTTATTTCCTGTACTCCTCATAGCAATCATTGCTATGGTGTAGATATAACAGTGCGTATTTTACAGATGAGGAGGTAAGGCTCAGGTACGTTAAAGTAGCTTGGTCAACATTGTACAGGTAGTAAATGCCTGAGCCAGGATTTTAACCCTAAGCAGATTATGTACAAATGGATCTTGAGAGCTCATGTGGACGTTGTAGCAGGGGAGTGAAGCTACTCTTGCTCTCATGACCCAGTGGTTCTTCTTTGTCTGGGAATTTCAGACTCTTTAAAGGAACTCTCTGGAGAAAGCATTTAACACTGTTGGAAGGGAGGGGACATCCTGCTGGGTATCGTATCAGCTAAGAAACGGGCACAGGAGTTTGTTTCTTCTATACGGTGGCAGTCTACAGCAGAGCAAATGAAACATGCCAGAGGCAGATCTAGTCATAACCTGCGATGGCATTTGCATCAGGGTCTCTCTCTTCCACGAGCTCTTTCTAGGCTCGGAGGGTTACCCCAGCAATTTGTCCCCAAGGTCGTGTGATATGTTTTTGTAAACTTTGCCAAAGCAAACTGCATTAATCATGATCTGTGAAGACCACTGCTCTTTCACTGCAAATTCCCCTCAGTACTTCCCTTCCACTTTGTGGCCTGGAGGTCAACAGAAACTTTGGGAATAGAGCTAAGGAAAAGTTGAGTTAGGGATATATTTAAGTTGGGTTTAGTGGGATATATTTATGGTTTTTTTTTTTTTTTGGTCATTTATGTTAAGTTTAAATTATTCCTACCTGTCCCAGTATAGGAAGAAATTTCCAGAACATTCCTACAGCCCACTATGCCAAATCATGTGTTGTTGTGATGTGATATAAATGTGCAGCCCATCTTGATATAAGTGTGTCCTGGATAAGACAAATGTGAGTCATGGCAGATGGATAAGACTTGAAATACATGGAGCACGGAGCTAATCTGTGGAAGACACTTCCAATTATCAGACATGCAAAATTCTAAGTGGAATATTTGGTTCTCACTATTCCTTAGTCAAAAAAATTGTTTTCTCCTTTTAGGAATATGTTCAAAATTCAGTGAATACAATTATAAACATGCCAGACATTCATTGACATTTTGTTTTTAAGATTGGCCCTGAGCTGGCATCTGTTGCCAATCTTCCTTTTTTTCCTCCCCAAAGCCCCCTAGTACATGGGTGTGTATCCTAGCTGTGCGTCCTTCTAGTTCTTCTATGTGGGACGCCGCCTCACCATGGCTTGATGAGTGGTGCTAGGTGTGTGCCCAGGATCCAAAGCAGTGAGCCCAGGACTGCCAGAGTGTAGCACGGCAAACTTAACCACTCGGCCACAGGGCAGCCCCCATCCTTTTACTTGTTGATGGAAATTGTTTGATGTAGAATTTAACAGACGTTCTTTGTTTATAGGGCAAGAACCTGAAGCAGTACTCCAAAGAATACGTTGTGTGTGTGAAGTCGCATGTTTGATTCACCGCCAATACCAATAATAAAACACATTTTGATCAATCATGCTAGGAGTGACATTTCTCTTCTCTCTGTGGAAAATGATAAAAAAAAATTGCTATTGTAGGAAGAGGTGATCAAAGAGTATGCATCTAAAAATTAAAGGGAAAACAAAGTTTTAGAGGGATACCAGGCAGTTAATATATAACATAGTAATATAAATATTATATAGTTTTATGTATAAATGATATAAATAATATAATATGATAAAACTAGAACATCATACTAATAAAATAAACATTTATTATTTTCCTGAATGTTTTAAAGTTTACAGTATCTGGCAGCTTTTAAAAATATTACTTATATATTATTTAACATTTATTACTTTTTACTTATTTTCTAATTCTAAAATATTTAATTATTCCTTTATTTTATTTTTAGATAAAATTCATACAACATAACATTGGTCATTTTAGCCATTTAAAAATGTACAATTCAGTGGTGTTTAGGATATTCACAATGCTGAGAATCCATCACCATTATCTAATTCTGGAACATTTTCTTCACCCCAGAAAAGAAATCCTCTACTTTCAAGTTTTACCCCCTCAATTCCCTGACAACTGCTAATCTACTTTGTGTCACAATGCATGTGCCTGTTCTGGACATTTCATACAAATGGAATCATATGATACATGGTCTTCTGTGTCTGACTTCTTTCATTTAGCATAATGTTTTCAAGGTTCATACATACTGTGTCATGTGTCAGTACTTCCTTCCTTTTTGTGCCTGAATAATAATCTATGGTATGACTGTACCACATTTTGCTTATGCATTCATCAATTTAGGGACATTTGAGTATTTTCCATGTTTTGGCTATTACGAATAATGCTGCTATGACAAAAACTTGGTGTACAAGTTTTCCGTGTGAACATATGTTTTCAATTGTCTTAAGTACATACCTATGAGTGCAAATGCTCATATGATAACTCTATGTTTAACTTTTTGAGGAACTGTGAGACTCTTTTCCACAGTGTCTGCAACATTTTATTACAGTCCCACCAATAATGTTTGAGGGTTCAAATTTCTTCAAGTCCTTGCCAGCACTTGTTTTCATTTTTTAAAATGATAGCCATCCTAGTGAGTGTGAAGTAGTATCTTATTGTGGTTTTGATTTGCATTTCCCTAAAGGCTAATGATAATTAGCATCTTTTCATGTGCTATCAGCAATTTGTATATCTTCTTTGGAGTAACTAGGTCTATTCAAATTCTTTGACCATTTTTTAATTGCCTTGTTTTTCTTTTTATTACATAGTTGTAACAGTTCTTTATATATTTTGGACACTGAGTCCTTATCAAATACATTATTTACAAATATTTCCTTTTATTCTGTTGGTTGTCTTTTCACTTTGATAGTGTTCTTTGATGCATAAAAATTTTTAATTTTGATAAAGTCCAATTTATCAATTTTCTCTTATGTTGTTTGTGTTTTTGGTGTCATATTTAAGAAATCACTGCCTAATCGAAGGTGACCAAGATATATGCTTATGTTTCCTGCCAAGAGTTTTATAGTTTTACCTCTTAGGCATAGGTTCATGACACATTTGGAGTTAATTTTGTGATATAGTATGAGGTAGGGGGTCCAAATTGATTCTTCTGCATGTGGATATCCAGTTGCACCAGCATCATTTGTTGAAAGATTATTTTTTCCCCCCATTGAATGGCTTGACACCCCTGTTAAAATCAATTGACCTTAGCTGTATGGGGTTGTTTTTGGCTCTCAGTTATACTCCATTGATCTATACATCCATGATTGTTTTGGCTATATATACATGTGTGTGTATATATATATATCTCCTTATGCCAGTAGTGCAATGTATTAATTACTGTAGTAGTGTAGTTTTTCCAACTTTGTTTTGTTTTTTCGAGATTGTTTTGGTTATTATGTGTCCCTTGCATTTCCATTCAAATTTTAAGATAAGCTTCTTAATTCCTGTCAAAAAGTCAGTTGGGATTTTGATAGGGATTATATTAAATCTGTACATCAATTTGGGGGAGTATTGCCATCATAATAATATTAAGTGTTCCAGTACACGGATATGAGATGGATTTTCATTTATTTAGGTCTTCTTCAATTTTTTTAAATAGTGTTTTATGGTTTTCATTGTATAAGACTTGCATTTCCTTGGTTAAATTTATTCCTATTTTATTCTCTTTGACGTTACTGCAAATGAAATTATTTATTTCACTTTTGGGTTGTTCATTGCAAGTGTATAGAAATACAACCGGTTTTTAAATATTTATCTTATATCCTTCAACTTTTCTAAACTCATTTATCAGCTCTAATAGTTGTGTGTGTATGTGTGTGTGTGCTTTAGAGTTTTCTAAATGTCAGATTATGTCATCGGCAAATAGAGATTATTTTACTTTTCCTTTCCAATCTGTATATTTTTAATTTCATTTTATTGCTGAATTTCTCTGGCTAAAACTCCCAGTACAATGTTGAACGAAGTGTCAAAAGTAAACGCTCTAGCCTTGTTCCTGCTCTTAGTGGGGCGGGGAGCTTTTAGTCCTTCATGATTAAGAATTATGCTACCTGTGGTGACTTTTTTCAGGTTGAGGAAGTTCCTTTCTAGTCCTGTTTCGTTGAGTGTTTTTATAAGAAACGGCGTTTGATTTTGTCAAATGCTTTTTCTGCATCAGTTGAGATGATCATGTGGATTTTTCCCTTTTAGTCTGTTAACATGGTATTTTACAGGGATTGACTTTTGTATTTTGAACAAACCTTGCATTCCTAAGATAAATCTCATTTGGTCATGGTGTATAATCTTTTTAATGTGCTGCTGGATTTCGGTCGCTAACATTTTGTTGAGAATTTTTACACCAGTATTCATAAGGTATATTTATCTGTAGTTTGTTTTTCTTGTGACATCTTTCTCTGGCTTTGACAAGGAACTCAGGATAATCCTGGATTCACAGAATGAATTAGGAAGTGTTTCCTCTTTTATGTTTTTGGTAGAGTTGGAGAAGAATTAGTGTAAATTCTTCTTTAAACACTTGGTAAAATTCACCAGTGAAGCTATCTGGTCATGAACTTTTCTTTGTTGGAATTTCAAAAAAATACTGACTCATTAGTCTCTTGTTATATGTCTATTTTATTTTCTACTTTTTCTTTTCTTTCTTTTTTAAGTTTTTTTCTTTTAAAGATTGGCACCTGAGCTAAGATCTGTTGCCAATCTTCTTTTTTTTTCTTCTTCTTCTTTTTCTTCTTCTTCCCTCCAAAGCCTCCCAGTACATAGTTGTATACTCTAGTTGTAGGTCCTTCTGATTGTGGCATGTCGGACACTGTCTCAGCACAGCCTGATGAGCAGTGCCTTGTCCAAGCCCAGGATCTGAACCGGCAAAACCCTGGGCTGCCAAAGCAGAGCGCATGAACTTAACCACTCAGCCATGGGGCCGGCCCCTCTGTTTTTCTTGAGTCAGATGTGGTAGCTTGGGTCTTGCTAGGAATTTGTCCATTTTATTTAAGTTATCTGATTTGTTGGCTTACAATTGTTCATAGCATTCTCTAAAATGTTTTTTATTTCTATAGGGTCAATGGTGATGACTTGTTTTTATTCCTGATTTTAGTAATTTGAGTCTTCTTTTTTTATGCTTCTTTAATTTAACTAAAGATACGTCAAATTAGTTGATGTTTTCAAAGAACCAACTTTCAGTTTGGTTGATTTTCTGTATTGTTCTTCATTTTCTATTTTATTTCTCCCTGCTCTAATCTTTATTGTTTCCTTCCTTCCTCTTGCTTTGGGTTTAGTTTTTCTCTTATACAGTTTCTTAGGGTAGAATGTTAGGTTATTGATTTGAAATCTTTCTTATTTTTTTAATGTTGGTGTTTATAGCTATACATTTTTCTTTCTGCACTGCTTTTGCTGCATTTCATAAGTTTGGGTATGTTATGTTTTCACTTTTGTTCATCTCAAAGTATGTTCTAATTTCCAAATTAATTTCTCTATTGATTTATAACTTCATTCCATTGCGGTCAGCCAACACAATTTGTATGGTTTCAATATTTTTCTGGTTTATTAAGATTTATTTTGTGGCCTAACACATGATCTATTCTGGAAAATGTTCCATGTACTTTCAAGAAAATGTGTATTCTATTGTTTTTAGGTGTAGTGTTCCACAGAAACCACTTAAGTCTACTTGGTTTATTGTGATGTTCAAGTCTTCTATTTCCTTGTTCATCTTCTGTCTAGTTGTACTATGTGTTATTGAAAGTAGGGTACTGAAGTTACCAAGTATCGTTGTTGAACGTTCTATTTCTCTCCTCATTTCTATCAGCTTTTGCTTCATGTATTTTGAGTCTTTGGTGTTAGGCGCATATATGTTTTTAATTTTTATATCTGATTGATGGATTGATTCTCTTATCATCATATAATGTCCTTCTTTGTATATCCTAATAATGTTTGCCTTAAAGTCTCTTTTGTCTGATATTTGTATTGCTGTTCCAGCTTTCTTTTGATTATCATTTGCATTGAACATCTGTTTCCATCCTTTCACTTTCAAGCTATCTGTATCTTTGAATTTAAAGTGTGGCTCTTATAGAAAGCATATAGTTAGACCATTTAAAAAACTCCATTCTGCCAATCTCTGCCTTTTAGTTGAAAAGTTTAATCCAATTATATTTAATGTGATTACTGCTAAGGAAGGTCTTAAGTTTGACATTTTCTATATTTGTTTTCCATACTTTTTTGTTCCTCAATTTTTCCATTTCTGCCTTCTTAGTGTTAAATATTTACTTGTATGCCATTTTAATACCCTCATTATTTCTTTTATTGTATCTTTTAAGTTATTTTCTTAGTGGTTATCCTTGGGATTACAATGAAGATTTTAATTTATAAAAATTTAGTTCAGATTAATACCAAATTAATTTCAATAGTATACAAAACATTGGCTTTATATAGCTCCATTCTCTTCCTTCCTCATGCTGTTAATATCACAATGTATTACATCTGTATATATTGAGTATCCATCAGCATAGATTTATAATTGTTGCTTTATGCATTTGTCTTTTAAGTCAGATAGGAAAAAAGAGGAG